CACGAAGAGAATGCAGCGGCCTTTCTTGAATTTCTCTTGGATTTTTATCGCAACAACTTCTAGAATTATGTCTTTCGAATAAAACAAGTTTCAATATGCTAGTGTTAATAGTTTTCGTTTTATTAGCAAATCAAAAGCATCAGTTACTTCTGGGACACCCTGTAGAAATTCATTTTCGGTAAGCTGGAAATGTCTGTGCGTCCTGCATGCGAAAACAGGCCCAAGTCATGGCGGCGTCAACATGAGGCAATTAGAAAATTGCCATGGCAACACTGACAGATTTTAAAAGAATGCATAGTTTCGCACAATTAAGGTTTTGAGAAAAAGAGCCAAGGTGGCAATATACGGCACCAGAACCACGTGCAGTGGATTATATTTGCCTCACCGCAGTTGAGGCTGTCAGGTTTATCGCAAAACCAAATTATCGATTCTGCGTAGCCAATATAGCATTTCTGCTATATAATCTGCTACGACGCGTTTTGCTGCATGAGCAAATAAAAGTGTTTGTTTCATCAAGGAGCTGCATATTCAGATAGTTGAACTATTAAGCATCTGTGTTACCGTCTGACTGTTCTTCGAAGGCGCTGTCCTCAAAAGCCACCTTTAAGATACTGGTAATAAGGTGCCTACGTGTGGTGTCGAAGAAAGCCCTCAGGGCTAAAATTGGCAACTAAACATAAATAACAGTTAGGGGTATGGTGGGGTCCAATCAAACGCCAATAACGTCAATCCGGAGATGACTGCGCAAGGCTGTTTATGCCAGCACAAGATCGATAAGTCGATCGACTGAGCTCTCATCGTAGAAGATAGAGTTTGGTGGCAATACCTACCTGAGGGACCTCGGTGAATCCAAACTTGAGCGGAATAAGGCCGGGATTGATCAGCCGAAAGTGAACTAAACCCGTCTGACTGGTCGGAATGCGACCAAAGTCGAGAAGGGGCGGCTCGAAGACTAGGTCCGAGGTTGTGAGGGTAGCTGCCAAGTTGACACTGATATCCTGACTCTTTGCCTCGGGAACTTCAAAACGCAAGGTGGTTTGCAAGGAGCCCGATTGTGCGTCAAATAGGACTGTCTTCTCGCCATCTTGGTCATCGTTCTCCCGACGAAGTTGATTCAGAGATTTCAGAGATATTCGAGGGAGGAGTTTTAGTTGCACCTTGCTGGTGTCATTAGCCTAAAGGAAAGAATGAGTGTTAAACACGAAATGCGACCTCGATAGCTGAATGATAGCTTGTAGAAAAACGATAAGAGAGCTGGAAACTCGTACAGCCTATTCCCTGTCTCGTGCAATGTCAACCGAAATTGTAAAATCTGCTTTCGATTCAAACACATTACTAAAGTGGAACTGTCTTGCTGATTATCACGCAGCCAATCCCAAGATATTTCAGGCTTTTGAACAAGCTCCTTTCTGACCACTTACAAAAAGTGTATTCTGCGAACAAACGGCTGCTTAAGTAGAACGCGGTTTTCCCATTGATTTTTTGATGCCCTTATAAATTCAAATCCATTTTATAGAAAATATGCGCAGAACTACTCTTCCCTGTATTCATTTGGTAGCAGGTTACGCTTTCTTCAAATTGCATACTTCAAGAAAAGGTATGCTTCGGTTTTAAAAAGGTTCCCAAGAATGATATTTTTAACGACTGTGAAATGTTCATTTATAATACATTGTATCCGTCAATTTATCAATTTTTCCTATAAAGTATATAACATTATCCAAAAATTTATGAGAGCTATGGAGCTCTTCCGCACACCGCAGGGAGATATATACTTCTTCTTAGACAGCAGGTATAAAACATTTAGTTTAGAAACTTTAAATTTAATTCTAACGGCCGGTAGGGTGCACAACTATGCGGCAATTTAGAACCGTTTTTAAAACTGAAAGGTGCCCTTTCTTCCAGTATAAAAGATGATGAAAGCTTAATCTGCTACCAAAGCGGTAAGTGAAAGAATATTTTTTGCGCATATTTTCTCTCAAACAGATTTGAATTTATAGCGCCATCAAAAACCAATGAGAAAACTGCGTTCTACTTAAGGAACCGTTTGTTTACAAAGTAAGCCTTTTGGTTGGCG